TAAATCACTTGACTGCAACTCTGTATATAAAGCATCCATTGAGTAACTATTTAACTGTGTTGTGTATGAAAATATGTTAATGAAAGTCTACTTCTTTTATTTAGAAGTATTTTTTCTGACACTGTTAAGGGCAGCCATACATGGATCCCTGCTGAACTGGCCAAATTTCAATCCATGTATGGGCCGGCTGGTTATACAGAAGTTGGTCTATCAACTGACTTCTGTATAACCAGCATGCAGGGTTTTTCCCGAGTGATCAGTGCCACTGGCCATGGCCATCAGAATACAATAGCACAGTGGAACTGAATCCCCCATCCACATTGAATGTATGAATGAGGAGAATCAAGTAACTTTTTTTCATTCAACAAGTGTGAGCCTAAAGCTGACCTCATAGAAATGAATTGTACATCCTGTAAGATTATATAGAATTTCAGTGAAACAATGTGTCTAAAGCCAGCATCTGTTTTTGATATTGCGTAGGGATGAATTAACAACCTTATGTATTTATTGCTGTCTTTGTCTCTGCTGGGGAGATTTGCCCTCTTATCATTTTCATCGGGACTGAAAGTTTCAAGTCTGAGTTGTAACTAGAACAGGAATAGAGGGGAAATCTTCCAATGAGAATATTTGTTTTAGTGAAGACTGTGTAAGATGGGATTTCATTTCTTTCTGTTGTATCAATGAGGCAGGAAGTATGGAGAAAATTCCCCAATAAGAAACAAATGGGGGAAAAAAACTAATGGGAGTTTTAAACCTTCCTCACTCTAGCCATAACAAATAGAAAGTGTTTTCATTTTGATGCCATTACGAAGCTTGCAACACAAGCTTTTTTTTTTTTTTTTTTCAAACTAATTTTCTTTCATTTTGATTGTAAGAAATGGTTGGTTTTGTACTATCCTAACTCAGTATACTATATTATAAATCAAATTTTGTTTGTGGCTTAAAGTAAAATCTGCGCCCAGGCTTTGCACAATTATGTATTTCCATATGCCAAACAAACAGTTAAAGCACTTTAAAACAAGCCCTTATTCATTTTTGTAGCTATAAGCATCATAGAAAATGAATCTTCAACTTTTCAACAGAGGCACTGAAGTCACATCTCTTTACCCTTTTACTTGCTACAGACAGCAAATCTTGGCAGCGTTTTAATGTAAACAGTAGGTATTTCTAAGCTGTTAGAAACCCACTTAAATTTTACTTCAAAGTCTTTGTTTTGAGCTTTGGGGTTCTTTTTGGAATTAATTACAGTACATGCTGCTAGAGAGGTAGGGGAATGTTTGTTTAAAGCCCTTTTATTGCTTACTGTTGTTTCAAGCTCTTTTATTGCTTGTTAAGTATATATAAATACGACCCCAATTCCAAAATAGTTGGGGCACTGTGTAAAATCTACATAAAAACAAAATGCAATGATTTGCATATCTCATAAAACTATATTTTATTCATAATAGAAAATATATCAAATGTTTAAATTGAGAGAAAGTATCATTCTAAGAAAAAAAAAATAAGGTAATTTTGACAGCAACACATGTAAAAAAGAGTTGGGACAGAGCTATGTTTACCATGGTGTAACATCCCCTCTGCTTTTAACAATCTGTAAATGTGAGAACCGAGGAGAAAATGTGTAAATGTGGGAACTGAGGAGACCAGTTGCTGGAATTTTGGGAGAGGAATGTTGTCCCATTCTTGCCTGATATGGGATTCTAACTGCTCAACTGTCCTGTGTCGTTTTTTTTTATTTTTAGGATGCGCCAAGTATGCGCAGCATGCGATTTTCATTGTTCTGCTGAAATAGGCAAGGCCTTCCCTGAAAAAGACATTGTCTGAATGGGAACATATGCTGCTGTAAAAAATGGATATATCTTTCAGCCTTGATGATACCTTTCCAGAGGTGTAAGCTGCCCATTCCATATGCACTAATGCACCCCCATACCATCAGAGATGCAAGCTTTTGAACCGAGTGCTGATAACAAGCCATAAGATCCCTCTCCTCTTTAGTCCGAAGGAGACAGCACTCATGGTTGCCAAAAATGTCAAATTTTGATTTGTCTGACCACAGAACAGTTTTCCACTTTGCAACAGACCATTTTAAATGATCTTTGGCCCAGAGAAGAGGGTGACGTTTCTGGATTATGTTCAGATATGGCTTTTTTGCATGTTAGAGCTTTACATTGCATCTTTGGATGGCACAGCAAACTGTGTTCACAGACAGTGATTTTTGGAAGTACTCCTGAGCCCATGCAGTGATGTCCATCACAGAATCATGCCAGTTTTTAATGCAGTGACCTCTGAGGGCCACAAAATCATAGGCATCTAATATTGCATTTTCAACCTTCTCCCTTGCATCCAGATTTATCTAGATGTTTGGAATCTTTTGATGATATGTACTGTAGATGATTATATATTTAAAGTATTTGCAATTTTACATTGAGACATGTTACTGCCATCAATGTCAAAATTACTTTTTTTTTTTATTGGACGTTATTGGACATTTTCTCAGTTTAAACATATGATGTTTTCTATTGTGAATAAAATATGTGTTTATGAGATTTGCAAAATCATTGCATTCTGTTTTATGTGGATTTTAATACAGCATCCCAGCTTTTTTTGGAATTGGGGTTGTAATTGAATTTCCACAGACTGAGCATAGGAGCTCCTGCACATACAGAATGGCATTATCATTAATACAGATAAACATGATGAGATAGTTGCAAAATATTGCAGGCCAATTATGCTATAATTTCTATATCAGAATATTTGAACTTTAATTGTCTCATAATGTGAGATGATATAAGAGTGTGCTGATAAGCAGCAAAAACCTCCCATAGGTGACCTCTGTATCAATATCTCCTGAGTACCTGACTAGAACTTGCTTGTTGCATCATTCCAGTGTTAATCAATGTAAAGTTAGGTCATTTAATGCAGGAATATGCGTACATTTTTCCTGATTATCAACTTTGTGCTGTAATTACAACAGCAATAAAAACCTGCTTTCTAATTTTGTATGCTAAGATATATTTAGTGCTGCTTTATCCAGCAAGGTTAGCATGACAGGCAGGCATCCAGTTTTTTCAAGAGAATGTCAGCCTCAATGTTTCTCAGTATGTGTGAACCTCAAGAAAGAAAGATCTGAGTAAGCCTGTCAATGAAAATATAATAGTAAGGATCCACAATAAACTTTGCTTAAATGCATAAAAATGTTTTGCTTCAGCAAAAGTGGAGTTTTCTTTACAGTAAATTAATTTTAATATTAAGTAGATATGTACAATAGATAAAAATTAAAAACTTGAAACTATGGCCTGTCCTTAAAAATATATATTTTCTGCAGCACTTAATTTGAAGTGAATTTGCACTTACAGTTTTCTCCTATTTCCCTTGCAAAGTCCCACAAATATCTTTTTGTGATGTGAATTCCACATAGTGCGGCTTCCTGTGATGGTGGGGCCAAGGATGCTGCACTGCTTCTCAATTCAGAGCCACTCTCAGGCTTTGTCTGCTTGTACTACTGTGGAATCAAAGAATGTTGCAGAGGATGTGGCTGCCAGAATTGTCACTGCTGATTCAAAAGCCTGTAGCTTTTCATTCAGTACCTAGCCACACCTAGCCCTGTCCACTGCTTTCTGGATTGACAGCACTGTCTCTGTTGCTGAAACCTTCCCACTGTGAGCTGCAATGTCTGGGAGGGGAAGAATGTGAGACCCAAATGAGTGAGGATTCGGTTCAGCCAGGGAAGGTGAAGGAAGTCTTTGATGTACTATTTGAAGCCTGTGCATCACGAAGTAACTGGATCTGGTACCTGCTTAAACTTTAAATCAGGAGCCTTTAGTTGTACGTTAATGTAAACAGCCTTTTGAATGTGTGTTAATTTATTAAAAACCTTGTTTTTATAGCTTGGCCATAGATGTGACAATTTTGTAAAGACGATGAATATTTAAAGACCATTCTAAGACCTTAAAGAATGTTACCCCAACGTTTCATATTCCTGATATGTCTGTTATACCATGTATTTGTGTTAAAAAGTAACCTGTACTCTTTACATTGCTTCCTTGTATGAAATACCTGATGTTCCTGCCAGTCTCCCTGCTTTCCTATTTTAAACTGACCATGCTAGGCATGAGAGCACATCCATCTCAGCATGGTCCGTTATGTAGATGTGCTGGGAGAACAGCCTGCTTATTCAATGATCAGACTTGTGCTGACATACCACCCTGCACAGCCATTCACTGGGAAGATGAGCATACTGCTGTTTCCCCACCCTTAGCACTCTAAGCCCCCTCTTTCAGAACAGCCATTAACGCTAATAAGAGCTGCATATAACTATTGAAGTGGCTAAATGCTTAGCACTTCCGCCTGACAGCACTAGGGTCATTGGTTCAAATCCCAACCAGGGCACCACCTGCCTGGAGTTTGCATGTTCTCTCATGCCTGTGGGTGTTTCCTCCGGGTACACTGGTTTCCTCCCACACTCCAAGGATATGCTAGTAGGTTAATTGGATCCAGTCTAAATTAGCCCCCTAATGTATATGTATGAATGCGAGTTAGGGATTGATGTGAATGTACTATATATATATATATATATATATATATATATATATATATATATATATATGTAAAGCGCTGCATAAATTGACAACGCTATATAAGTACCTGTAATAATGGCTGCTTCTTGAATATTCAGGAAAAATGTATCAACTTTTCATCAGAGCTTCCCAAAATCATCCCATCTATGGCCAGCCTGTGTATAGTTTGTAATTATGTATATAGGTGAGCCTTTTTTCTCACTGCTGGTTGAAAACAGGAGCAGTGACTGATAACAGATACCATGTGATCTTGGCTGAGAGGTGGGGAGTAGCAGTTTTTAATAATTACTAAAATGTGATGCGGTGGTGATGAGAAGTCCACTTTAAAATTTATGTACGTTACGGTGTAGCCTGCACAGCCACACTGCCCCATTTTGTGTGCTCTCTGACATCATCTGCATGGTACATGTTATGCTCTAAGAGCATTTGGTAATAAAAATGAATGTACAGTTTATATTGGCAATATACAGTATGATCAAGGGCGGACTGACCATTTGGAAACTCGGGTACTGCCCGAGGGCCCGGGGTCAGTAGGGGCCCCATGAGATGCCCCTGGTACCTTTTTCATAGGCTTTTTTGAGTTTGGGCAAGGACACAGGGGCCCCATGATCCCCTATTGCCCGGGGGGGCCCCAAGTGTTGTCAGTCCGCCCCTGAGTATGATTGACAGTTTTTTTTTTTCTTTTATCAACCAGGTCATGTCCCTTTTAGAGGATAGATTGCTGTTATACCTTCTCAGTAAAATAATTCTGTCAAATGCATTCCTTTACTAGTGGAATGGTTACATACAGAACACTTAAAGGAGCAAATTACACTCGCAGACATTTCTTTTTGATATCTAGGTTGCCTTCAAAAGAGCTATAAAACAGTGGTCCTTATTGGGAAAAAAACTGCAGGAAAGTGTATAGCCCAAAGCAGCCGGTTAGAGTGTAGCTAGTTAGAAAATGAAAATACTGGTTGCTCGGGGCAGCATTTCCACTTTACCTTTCCTCCAGTTTACATAGACAGGCCTAGTTTTCTCTTTGGCACCATTTCATGCTTGGTTGGTTTGACACACAGAGAGAAATTGTAAGTTGCATTTATAAGCTTCAATGCCTCCTGCTGGAAAGTGGGCTGATTCTCCCATTTGCTGAATGAGACAAGCTATTCACTAGGCACTTTGATACATGATAACAAAGGGACTCAACATGAAGTAAAAAAAAAAACAAAACAAAAAAAAAAACAAAAACTTAACCTTAAAGGAATATGTATTTTTTAGCAAGGCAAATACTCCTCTACCAGTGATGAGGTGCTGAACATGACCTCTGTAAATGATGCTAAAAGCATGGTTATGATTTAAATGTGGCAACTTATCTTGCACTTTACTGCTAATAAAGGCAGCAACGGTTGCATAAAATCTGTTGGTATTGAGAAGTAACCTTTAAGAGAAAAAAAAAGGTTTCTTTTCTAAACGTAGTACTTTTGAGGAATTTAATAAACTATTCTTTGTCTTCTGTTAAACAGACCAGAAAGCCTGAAAATACCTTGATGATATGTATGTTGATAAAAAAAAAGTGCATTGTAATGTATTATGATCTGAGATCTTTCTCCCCATCTGACAACATAAACACTTTGGTGTCCATGAATGCTTTCCTATATGATATTATTCTATATGATATTATTGCTATTCACAGCACTGTGTCTTTTATGTTATTTTGCTCACCTTGGAGCATGAAACAGACTGGGTATATACTACTATGTTTTTTTTTTCTTTCTGGGAGAATGGTTACCTATTAGGTATAAAAAAGCAGCAAATATGTTTACAATTAAAGCTTTCAGTTTTCTGTATGTGGTTTGTGACTTCAGTTTGTGTTTGTACACCACACACCATTTAAAGTGCCTCTTTGGTCAAAATGTAAAATAATATATTAATTTCTACACTGTATTACAACTATATCTAGCCTACTCTTATTAATCTGAGCAATCTTGACGTTTTTAAACTTACTTTGTGATGCTCCCCACATATTTACTTCCTTGAATTCTGTATCTTCTATTTCACGGAGGCTACCTTCTGAACTACAAACGAGGTGCTGAGAGGAGAAGTTTCAGGAGGCAGACTCAGTACAGGAATCACTTCTCGCAGGTAGCAAATTACCATGGGATATGTAGTTCTTAGAAACTGAAAGTACATCAGGAAACACTGTAAAGCTTGCAGAGAATCCAGGAAGTTTTGGAAAGAGATGGACAGCAGACAGGCAGCACTCACAACATGAAAGGTTGAGTTTTCAAGTAAGCTTATATTGGATTGTAAAATATAACTACTGTTTGTATTGTTATTACGATGCTAACACTCCTTCCTTGTTACCTTTTTAAACATTTCCTTTAACCATCAACTCAACACTGGCTATATATGTGCATACACATACACACTTTGAGCTAGAGTACATAGGAATTTAAGATGTGTTTATCGTACGCTCACTTTGTATGGAGGAATAAAGGAAAAACACAAAATGACTTCAAACAACCTTAAAGCGGTAATAAACCGCACACAAAGCAGTAATAAACAGCAACCAAGCAATTTAAGTTATAATGATGTGCTAGTATGCATTGCATACTAGCGCATTATGACAGACTTACCTGTAAATGAGGCCCTCCAGTGGCATGCTGTCACGAGTCCTAACGATTCCATCTTCACCCAGTCTTCCTTCTGGGTTTGCAGGCTTTGGCCGTATGAATGGCCGAGCCACAATGACGTCGCTCCCCTGCATGTGTGCGGGAGTCACGGCTGCGGCACAGAATTCTTAATGGACAGTAGAGTCCGTTCAGAGCACAGTGCGCATGTGGAGGTGACATCACCGGCTTCTTCTAAAGTAAATATCTTGGTGTGCGTTTAGGAAATATTTAGGTAATAATGATAATATTCTAAGCTAACCTATAGGTAAAAATCATTATCGTGACTTTACTGCTACTTTAAGCTGACCATAGATGATTTTTTTTTTTTAATTTGGCCAGTGTGCTGAACAAAAGAAAGCTAACCTATTCCTGCATCCACACAAACAAGGTGGATGGAGGAATCTTACTTCCCCATTTCCTCTCCGGGACATTGCATTCTGTTCTATCTATGGCCAGCTTTATTCCACAAATATTTCTTATTCTAAGAGCGGTCATATAACAACCAACCAATACCCCCACTGATTTGCAGGTTAGTTCTGATTTTTTTTGCTATAGGTAACTACACTTAAAGGATAAGTTCACCTTTGACCAAAAATAACTGCACATTTTTTGCATGTAAAAAATGTGCATTTATTATTTTTGGTTGCAGGAGCATGTAAAGCATTGCACCAGCGATCAGCAGATTGCTGATGTCATGCAGGTCTCCTGCAGGCCTGTCAATATATCTGCTTGCCAGTACTTATGTTATGGGGGGGGGGGGGCACTTATACTTTAAAGTGCATGTCATGGCAAAAGCAGAAAAAAAAAAACAAAACAGTACATTGCTACAATATATAACCATTCTCCTATATACAGAAAAATGCCTATTAATCTGAAAGATAGATACTCAGCTGTACACAGCCTAATTTCCTATTGTGGGCTGACAACACACAGCATTTTGTGGCCTGAATGGTGTCAACCTTGCCCAGTTGTCTTTTGCTAAACTGTTGAATGCCTCCCAATGTCTTCATCTCCACACCACAGGGGACTAATTGTTCTAAAGTCCAAGATAAGAAATTATGGAGGGATGATTAGAACAGGGCTTGACAAATTTGCTTTGAATCTAGGAGCCAGCTAAAAAGTTAGGAGCCATTTTTTTTCTTTAGCGTAGCATGGGTTGTCAGCTTCCAGGACAAGGCAACTTTGGACAACAAGCTTCACACAATGCAATCTGTCGCGCGACAGTCACAGTAAAACTGCACCATGTTTTAGGTGCCATTGAACCTGCATTTTGCGATCACAGTGATTCAAGGTGATGAAGTCAATGGGAGGTGTTTTTGCATTGAAGTCAATGGGAGGCAATTTTGCATTGAAGTCCATGGGACAAGATTTGCATTGAAGTCAATGGGAGTATGTGAACCCAGGCAACAGAACACAATTTCTAGTCGCCATGGCGACCTGGCATCTGGGATTTGTCAAGCCCTGGATTACACAGATTGTGCACATTGAACAGCTCTGACATTCTGACCTGGTCAACAGGCATTTTTTTTTCACTTTTCAAACAGATAAAATAAAACACTTTCATTGGATATTTACGATCAAAAGGGTGCAAATAAATAAGTTAATTCATAATTGGAATCTACAGACACTTAAAGTGGTAGTAAACTATTTTTTTTCTTTTACCTACAGGTAAGCTTTTAATAAAACTTACCTGTAGGTAAAATGAATATCTCCTAAACGTGCACCATTTATGAGATATTCTAGTGAGCGGGAGCCGGTGACATCACTGGCGCTTGGGGTCTGAAGGAATGGCATACCTGTGCTGTTCCTTCAGAGCTGTGTGCCGTGCCGTGGCTGTAGCTCCCCCACGCATGCCTGGAGTGACCTGATTAAGGTTTTGGCCAGTTAAGTGGCCGAAGCCCGGGAACCTGGAGAGAAGACTGGGTGAATATGAAAGCCTTTGCAGCAGTGACAGCGCACCGCTGGAGAGCTCTATTCTCAGGTAAGTCTTTTGTAATGTGCTAGTATGCATATTTTTAAAGATTTACTACCGCTTTAAAGGAGTTACTAGAAGAATGTAAACTCTTTATTAAATAAGTGCTAAACTGACCTTAAAGTGATTGTAAACCCTTACATACAGTATACCCAATGAAGTGACTAGCCACAGGTGATACCCAGAAATGAAACAAATCCTCCAACATTAGTTGTACCTTTTATATGCAGCCACCTCTTCTGCACAGCCTCCTAAATTATACAGTTTGCACAGCATCTGTGACCTTTAACAGGCAGCTCAGAGATGCTGTCACATGCTACAGAGCTAACTGGAACCTGAGCCCTGAATTGAGAGAATGGATGTACACCATCCCTCCACACAAATTCCTAGGGAAACATGCACAACTGAGGCTGCCAGTCTAAGGCTGTTTGCTGAAGCTCCCCTCCCCTGTCTCCCTCTGTGTTAGCTGTCATAAATACTCACCAGCCCTTAATAACAACGGTATCATATCCTGCTGTCCTATAAACCTAGAAAAGGTCCACCTGGATAGGGCCTACTCACAACATGTTGAGAGCAAGCAATACCCCCCTCTCCAAGGTAGCCAAAATTCAAACCTAAGTGCCTGTCTTTGTTTTTACTGGTTAGGGTGGATTTTGGTAAATATTGAATCCTAAACTGAAATATTAACCCCTTCACGCCTAAGGTTAAAACAAATCTAAATGCCTAAGCACAATTCTACAACGTTGACATGTCATAGTAAAACCGTACATATTATCACAACTACTTTGTACATCCAGGTGGATTATACCTTAATTTTTTCAGGACAAATTGGGCTTTCATTTGGTGGTAAATGGTAATGGATAGCTCCTAATTTTTTTTTTTA